TATATTATTATTAAACTCTCTACTTCATGTTAGAAAACTAACATCACAAATGACTAACCAAAAAAATAATCATTAATCATAATAGTAATAATAATGTTAAAGCTACAAGGTAAATACAAAATAGCAAAGTTATAGTTAGTTACAACATAATTATTTTGTTTTCAATATGTACTTAAAACAGTTTCAAATGCGTGCCTTCCTTTGTTTTGTCTTTACAAACTTCTCGTGAGCTAACTCAAAATCATCAGCGATATCAAAATCATCAAGATCAACATATCCTCCAACTCCTCCTCCTCCTTTATGTTCCCGTTCTCTTGCTCCACCCATTGACAGGCCTTGACCACGCCCATCACGACGAGGGAGCCGCTCATTAACATAAGCCACAGTTTCACAAGTCCTAGTGAGCCTCAGGGCAAGAGATTGAAGCAAATCAAGAGAAGAGACCAATCTCCCGTGAGCTTCCTTCCAATTATAAGAATTGGTAGACTCCTCTAGCTGTTCATCAAGCTCACGTAAGTCTGAGGTCACTTGGAGAACTAATGCATCAACTTCAGCTGCTGTTATGAGCTTACGACCTCTCACCAGTGCCTCTTCAAGCTTTGAGCGGAGGAGAGAATAGGGGCCACTCTTGACTGCAGTGAATCTCTTGTAGGCCTGCAAGTTCTCAATATGCGACTGTGCCCTAATGTGGTCCCTGTATAGCTTAGAAGATGCTTGGCTCCCAGTTTCTTCATCAATATCAAACTCATCCATAAAAGGTTGTTTTAGGAAGGAGACCCCACAGACCTGACAGTATTTAGTATCAACTAGTTCAGGGTCAGCACCCACTGATAGTCTAAAGTCATCATCTATTGTATGGAAACCCTGAGGTGGGGGGACCTTATCTCTCTGTACAGGGTCTCCAGACATTAGGGAACCCAAGATCTTTTCAATTTCTTCTTCGTCAAAGATGGCGTCAGTCTCATATTCCTGCTCTTGATGGACACGCCCAATTTGAGGGGAGGAGCCAGAATAAGGTGTTGTCATGTGTACGGTCGAACCATATGGAGGGACAACGGGTTGTCCTTGAGAAGCGGTTGCAGGATTAAAACCGGTCTGATTCTGAGGCCCGGATGTCATGGTAGCGTTAGAGGAAACAGGTTGTCCCCCTCCTCTTGTCATGGCCTGTGTTGCATTATTGAGTACTGAGAGCTGGTACTGCTGGTATTGCTGTTGAATGCTCTCTTGCTGTAGTTTATACTGTTGCTGTGCTCCTACTAGCTGATAATACTGCTGTGTCAGGAAGTATTGCTGCTGCTCGTGTACTGCTGGGTCTATTATCAGGTGAGGTGGGGTTTGTCTTAAAGTGGTGAGCTGTTGCTGAATGAGACCGCCATACTGCTCTAACTCGTCCAGCCTCTGATTGATAAACATCCACTGCTCCTGTAGCTGAGAGTCACCTGGTAGAGATGCCTTCTCTCCACTGCTGCTCACCACTGGACCCTGTTGTACTGGGGCCATTGCATGACTGCTTTGTGAGGGTGGGGACACTTTCACTTTAGTTTCTACACAAGGAGGAGGCTGGGGAGGTCGTGGTGGAGTTAATACTTTGGGTCTGACTACAATACTCGCCGCTTGCTGTGGTATGGTCTGTATTTCCTTAAAGTCCATATTCCCTGTCTTTGCTGCTTGCATTTTACCAATATGACAAGAGAAATGGGCCGAATGGAGTATAAACTGCACCAGAGAGAACAGGTCCCCCACAGTATTAACTCTATCAATCCTATCAACGACAGCCTGTACAAATGGAGATGTCCTTGTCTCTGGGTTCTCCACAAACTCTCTTAGAGTTCTCTGGACGTGAATGAGGAGCCTAAAGAGCTCTTCTTGCTTCTCTGGAGACACAATCTCCAGGACTGCTATTAACACAAGAGCGCATGCAAGACAGTGGACAAGAGAGCCATCTTCGCAAGCATTGCTCTCGGGGCTCAGGGCAAACTTCAAGAGGTCAAACTGAGGCTGATATACACCGAGGAGCAACTCTAGCATCTTGTGCAATAAGTCAATGGAATCATCAATGACTCGTGTGTCGTTTTTCTTTTCTTCGGCAAGCTTGACACAAGCAGAAAGCAACCAGAACTGCTGTCCTCCTTGTATATTTAGCACATCAAAGAGCTGGCACTGATACCTATATAATGATACTTACATTGAAATAATGGTAACTGCTATATTATATATATGTACATGTACATTAATAACTTTAACCTATGCTTTTGGCCCAACTTTGGAGCAACTTAAAAAATTCCTAAAAAAATCCAAATGTGATTGGAATCAGCTCAAACTTTCTACAAAGCATATAAACATGTATATGTATATAAAAAAATTATAAAAATTGAGAATTCTCTTCTTTTTATTTTTGACAAAATTTGGCCAAAAACCCTGTACTATAGTACAGGGACTTTGGGCCAATTTTGGAACAACTTCAAAAATTTGTAAAAAATCCAAATCTGATCAGAATCAGCTCAAACTTTCTACACAACATAAGTACATGTATATGAATTAAAATAAATTATAAAAATGAAGAATTCTCTCTTTTTAATTTTTGGCAAAATTTGGCATTATACAACCTTTATTATCATTCCCATGTGCAGTACCTGTAATATAATGGCAAACAC